GTCAGGTTTTCATACAAAGTAAACGAACCTTCTTTCCAACCAAAGTAAGACTATTTCAGCTTCTCTGCAAAAAATACTTAATTCTCTGATCCAGATTGTTTTTTATATTAATTATATATGGAGCCCTCAATGCTTGCCTGTTTAATTAACTTTGTAAATGCGTGAATTCTGATCAAAAAAAAAAATTTTGTGCATTGTGTGTTAGAACGAAAATATAGAAAGTTGTTCCTATGAAAGTTCAAGCAAAATATGATCTTATGACTTAAATGTTGAAGTATGAAAGAAATGAGTTGTTTATTTATTTTAGACCTACTAAATAAGATAACCCTGAATTTTTAGGAAATGGAAAAGCATATCTTCTTTAAAAACAATTTTTGGTTATGCGTATTCAAGTTGCAAAACTGGTGTCGGAAAGCTAATTTTTTTAACTTTACCATGTTTGAAAAACCGGTATGGTAGAAGAAACTGAAGATGAACTGGATGATAATATGAAGAAAGAGATTGCTGGGCATGCACCCTGAACCGCTTGAAAATAAATTTCGCCCGTACCTCCTCGAGCTTACAGAAGAAAAATGGCAGTGTAATTTCAATGGATATACAGGGTGGCCACTTTTTTAATGGGATTGTATTAGTAATTTCCAAAGCATACTAGTTAGAAAGTGGAGAAAAAGTTGCGTATCTCGAAGCATAATCTAGCGGTGGAAATTAATCAAAAATAGCAGGCCCGGTTCTCGAGATATTTCGATAAAAGGAAATTCGACCTTTTCGGTTTTTTGGTTATCGTTCATTTATTTTCAGAACTACTAAAAAATATTTTTAAGGTTTTTCATTTGATAGTAAATTTTCTTTGATTTGACGTTTTCATATTTTGGATCCAACGTTTCGTATTCTCCAGACCAACCTCAACTTATTTTTTTTAAATATGGACCTAGATATTTTATAACATTATGTGAAATAACTTTTCATCCTGCATCCAGTGGTGTATTACACAATGGCATTCAATGACGGTTTTGGGTAATTTAGACCGTAATTCAAATTTTATTGGTACGGATCTGTATTTAATTTATAATCAGTGTTAATTTTTAAGGGTTTAATACTTTGAACATAAAGTGATTAATTAAATAAATGAGAATCAATAATTATTCAATTATTCGACTTTTAAAAAATATGTTTTGATAAGAAAAATAATTAAAAAATATTCCCAATTCCATTTTTGACAATACATACCTACCATTCAGGTTCATTGTTCAGTAATTTTTGAAAGTATTGTTTCCATCTTTGCATTTGCTAGCTTTTTCCTTCTATTAAATTTTCCTCCTTGTCCTTGATGTAAATATTTTTTGGCGAGTGTTTTTTTTTGTATACCATTTTTATTTTTATAGAAATGTTTAATTTTTTTGTAATTTTCTTGTATTTCTGCGACTTTTTTTTTCTTGGTGACGCCTTTTCTTATTTCTACACATTTTTTTAACAGCCATTCTTTGTTCTACATGTTACCAGCCGTGGAAAGAAAAAGAAACCTTTTTCTTTTTCTAGAAATCAGTGCTTAATTTTTTTACAGTAGAGTGCTTCTCTTCCTCGGGTGTCAAGATTATATTTTTTTTTTTCGTCTGAATCGTCCCTTGTTTGTAAGTATTTTTCTCTAAGTTTGTGTTTTTTTTTAATTTCTTCATCACATTCGTTATCTAACCATTCCTTTCTATTTGCGTTTTTTTCTTATTAATATTTTTCTCAGTTGGTGTTTTTATGGCATTCTTTATGTTATTCCATTTATTCTCTACTATGTTGACCATGTTTAAAACTGGTGTTTTGTCTGCTAGACTTCTTTTCTGCTCTATATCTCCTTGATACCTCGTTTACTTGTAATTCTTCCATGTGAATGCAACCAAGTATAAAAACTTTTCGGCGTTTATCTACAACTCTTCTCAGACATAACACATTTGATAAACCTAGAGTTCCGTATGTTCGACGATATTAATGTCTTAGCTTAAATTAGAATAAATCCAGGAGTTGGGTCGAGGACTATTGCAGGTGAATGTAATTTATCAAAAAGTGCTCTTAATAAGATAGTCAAGAGACACGGATACCATGATTACAGATACCAAACGGTACAAAAACTATAACGTAATGATCCTGAAAGAAGATTGCGATTTTGTAATTGATTTAAACAGAAGGTAAGACTTAATAACAACTTTAGACACAATATCATTTGGGGAGACGAAACAACATTAACGAATTCTGGTATGTTCAATCGAAGAAATCAACATTTTTATGTCTCCCGGAAAATCCTCACCTGATACAAGAATTGAGACATCAATATCGTTTCTCTTTGAATATGTGATGCGGTTTGTTGAATAATAAATTACTGGGACCATACTTTATTGACGGAAACCTTACTGCAGAAAACTATTTAGATATACTGCAGGACATGTTAGAGTACCGTCTTAATGAAATCTGATTCCAACAAGATGGATGTGGTTCACACAATTAAAAAATGGTCACGGATTATTTGAATCAGACTTTTCCCAATTCATGGATTGGAACAAGGGGTCCAGTGGCGTGGCCTGCCAGATCGTTAGATCTGAATTCATTAGATTTTTATTTGTGGGGACGTCTCAAAAGTAAAGTGCATAATACACCGAATGCAACAATTTGGCCTCTCCGCGAAATGATTGAAGATGCATTGGAAGATATCCAAGAAGAAGAAATAAGCAATAGCATAAGAAATATGAATATCAGAATCGCCAAGTGTATTGAAGAAGATGGCGGACATTTTGAATAATTACTCAATTAATTTTATTGATATTTTCAAATAATTTGATTATGACTTACAAAAACTGAATTTCTTTTTGTTATTATCAGTAATTGCGATTTAAAATTTCTACATTACTATTGTTGTTGTTGATGAATTGTTTAATTTTCGAAAAATTACATATATTTTGTAAGAATTGAATTTTCTTTCTATCGAGGGACATGACATGTTGATTCAACTAAAGATGGCTGAAACCAAGCGTAAATTTAATAAAATTTGGATTACGGTCCATATTACCCAAAAACCGTGATTGAATGCAATTGTTTAATACATTGCTGGATGCAAGACAAAAAGGTATTTCAAATAATGTTATAAAATATCTAGGTCCATATTTAAAAAAAATAAGTTGAGGGTGGTCTGGAGAATACGAAACGTTGGATGCAAAATATAAAAACGTCAAATCAAAGAAAATTTACTATCAAATAAAAAACCTTTAAAATATTTTTTAGTAGTTCTGAAAATAAATGAACGATAACCAAAAAACCGAAAAGATCGAATTTCCTTTGATCGAAATATCTCGAGAGCCGGGCCTGCTATTTTCGAATAATTTCCACCTCTAGATTATGCTTCGAGATAGGCAACTTTTTCTCCATGTAACCGACTTTCTAACTAGTATGGTTTGGAAATTACTAATACAATCCCATTAAAAAAGTGGCCACCCTGTATACAGTGAGCATTATAAGACTTACCTCCCCTATCTAACTCGTTACTGGAGTCTTGTTAGGAAAATCGCCGAGACATGTCGATTTTTGATTTCTACAATGTACATTTTTGTATGAATAGTTTACCCTTAATTTCATCCCTTACTGGGGGGAGCAACCCTTACAAAAAATTTAAATGGCATGGGGTGGTGAGTGATAGCTCATTTGAAAGGGGGTTTTATTTTCTATTTAATCGTGCAAAAAAATTTGAAATTTGCTTCATTAATTCTCGACTAATTATTGTTTCAGAATAAAGGAAATTAACGTAGCGCACTCATCCTTAGAATTAAAATTCGGCCCTGCATGATATCGGTTTTGGTTCAGACGTGAAGTAAGACTTTTTGCCATTAGATAAGGTCACTGTTAGTTAAGTTGCTTTCCTATTTGTGATGTTTTGTTAGTTTTAAACATTAATAAATCAACAAGTAATGTAGCAAATTTCAAAATTTTTTGCACGGTTGAATAGAAAATAAAACCCCCTTTCAAATGAGCTATCACTCACTACCCCATGCCATTTAAATTTTTCAAAAGAGTTGCTCCCCTCCAGAAAGGGATGAAACTAAGGGTTAACTATTCATACTAAAATGTACATTGTGGAAATCAAAAATCGACGTGTCTCGGCGATTTTCCTAACAAGACTCCAGTAACGAGTTAGATAGGGAAGGTAAGACTTATGATGCTCACTGTAAGAAAGAGTCTAAATATTGAAAATAGCTTGACGTTTGGCTCTTAGCTACGGTTGACTGTTAGCTGCGAATTTGGAAGCTGCTTACTGTAATGCACGCACACTTGCACAACCATCGCATTAAATATAATTATTTTTAAATAGTTTATTAAATAATACATTGGCGTTAGATAATATGATGTCTATAGAGTTATGTTTTCAAAAATATATTTTTATTGTGTTTTCTTTATCCTGTTGAACCCCGTTATTTTGTACAAATGTGGATGAGGTCGCAGGTTACTAGGCAATTGTAAAAGATTACGACCCGAAAAAGGTTAGGTACCACTGTTCTAAAGATTTACAGAATTGTATTTCTATAATTAAAACCTAACCTGCATCAAATCGTTTTTCTCGAAAACGGAATGGAATTTCACGTGAGACAACAGTAACTTTATTATCTAAGAAAGATTGCTCTGTCTGATTTTGGAACCTACTTGGCGTTAAAGATAAAGGCTAAAAAGTTATTATCCTATTTATAAAAGCAATAAGTTATAAAGTATTGGCGGCTTAAAAAGTTGCCAATGGCAAAAAGATAATATCAACATTGGGATGGGGAGTGGGTGGCTCAGTGGTAAAGTCTGCTTGCGGATCCTAGGGTTCCAGGTTCGAATCCCACCGATGGCCGGGATTTTTTTATTTAATTTAATTATTTAAAATTAATTCTGATGCCTGTGTAGGATTCCCACTCGACCATTCCCTGTTGGGTTCTAATTAACAGTGCTGTTCCTGAAGTGGTACTGTGAAAGAGTAACAAAGCCTGCACAGAACACATACGATTGATAATTTAAAACACAAACTGAGACTGGCATATCAGGTTTATACACCTAAGACATAAATAGAAAAAAAAATTGGGATATGTTCACGTAAATGGTCATTATATGACACGATATTCCATTGTAAATTATACATCCTGTATAGTCGCCGATATTCTCAACATTTATCATATAAAAATGCGGTACATTTGAGGGCACGCTCAGTATGATACTTGACACGATTTTGATACAAGTTAAAAGTATTTATGTATTGATAAATTTCTTATAAATTGTTCAAGATAGGCATAGTAAAGAAACCAACTGCCATTAAGGATTAATATTAATTTAAGGTACGTATTCAATCTTGATAATTTGTTTTTCTATTAAAAACATTTATTTTGATATTTATGATGGAACTATTTTCGTTTTAATGTAAATAAGCGAAAGTTCAAATTTAAAAATTTATTTCAGTATATTTATACGTTCTTAATTATAATTTTCTCCATTTAAAATGATAAATATTTAATTTTTTTTTTAATTTACCATTACACTGAATAGATAAACACTATACGGACTTAAAAATATGAGATATAAATACTACAATCAAATATATTTAAGGTATCACTGACTAAAATATAGAATATACACATAACTTTTAGCTACACTAATAAAAACATATTTTTCTAAATGACAAAACTTTACAAAAAGCGAAATTTAATTTTATATATTAACAGTATAAATGAGGAGCGACAAAGCTAAACGCGATAAATCACAAATGTCTTATTTTACAAAAAATGCAAAAAACCTGGGAAATATAAGCTTTTTTTAGTTGAGCTAAAAATTTATGTTGAAATTGCTTTGAATACTTGTACACATGAATGTAAAAAGTAATTTTGATACTACAGTTATTACAAAAGGGATTAGACCACATTTAATAATGGATTAATCGTAATTTGATTAGTCACGCTAAGGATTTATCGTCTTTTGTCCAGTCAAAATGGATTTATCGTGCTCTGGGTAAATGGCAAATTGATTTATTGAGTTTTGGACAAAAAAGTACAAACAAATAAAAAAGCTATGAGAAACACATATTTTTATTAAAAAAAAAACATACATATAGTCCTGAAAATACAAAATAATCAGAGCTAAATCCGAACACCTATATCTTCTTCTAGACAATCACAAGTTTCTTCTTCATTATGATCCGATTCTTCATTCTCCTCGTTTTCAGCACCTGGGGTGCTCAAAATATTCCGGTACCAAATCAAATCTTCCTCTTCTTTCCATTCATCACCGAATTCTTGCTTTAATAGATTCTTCAGAGATTTTTTCTTTTTGTCTTTAATGTCTCTCCCTAATGGTAATAGTTCTAGTTTTAGTTTTCCGTCTTTCTTTTCTTTCTTCAATAACGATTTTTCAGTTTCAGTGGTGCTTTTAAATATAAAATTTTTGTAACACGTGACAGTTACCGATGTATTACTTTTTCGCAACTTAATACGTTTCATATCAGATATGCCTTCAACCTTTTTCAAACTAGCTTGAAGCGCTTTTATGTCACAAAGCAGCCAGTCAGTTCCAAGTACCTCTCCTATCTTTCAGGGAAACACCTGCCTCAATTTTCTTACACAAACGATTGACTCTATACTTCGTGATGCCCAAGGCTGCCCTAAAAAACTTTAAACAAACTCGATTGCGCCTTTTTAAATGTTCGGGTTTCATGTGAAACATAGTACTAAAGTTTCTTGCTCGTGGATTTGGTTTAACAGACCTTTTTCTCTCGATAAGACCAATAGTAATCATATAACTCAATATTGTGTTCTGCTCTAATTTATTTGAAGTAGCATAGAGCTGATTCTTGATAAACTTAATATCACTTCGCTTAATTCTGTTACATCTAAAACTGTTACCATCGTGATTGCATGGCCTTTTAATTTTTTTTAAAAGAGAATCTCTGTCATTGAATCTAAAACAATAATAACAGTTACTAATAGCTGTAAAAACCAGATAGTTACTTTCTAAATATCTGTTATTTACAAATTAAAAAAACATTACCTTAAAATATAAAAAGCTATTTACCTTTTTTCCCTTTTCAGTGGCTTGTTTGAGATTTTCGGGTCTTTTTTCTGCTTCCGATATTTGCATCTTTCACAGCTACCTCCATATTTTAGACTTAATTTCCAGTGATCACACAAAAAAACAACCTGTACTGTGAACAGTTCAAAGCATACTAAAGCAGATAACCCGGAATTATTTGAAGAAAATGGAATTATCGCATTTTGAACAGTTGCCTTTGGAAATATCGCAATATGCTCAGTTGGGTTGTGAAATCATTGCCAAATGCTTGGCCCATGAATTGTTGTGCCGTGTTTCTGGTATGATCCCAGCTAGCACAAAAATATCCCATCTACGTTAATAAGTTGCAATTTTAAGCTCTTTAAGCTCGCATGCAATGTACTGTAAATGTAACCCTATTATCCCTGCAACTAACGAATGTCCGCAACGGCAAGACTTTTATAGCACATCTCGTAGAAGTTATAAAGTTAAGTTCGGAAAACATCACACTAGCACTTTTACGGTACTTACCCCGAAAGTTGCTCTGAAACTTTCTATAGATGTTATAATGTGAATTCCTTCTACAGAATTATACAGTGTGTCCACGGATGGACTTAACAATACTTGTAAAAATATTTATTTTAAATTTTAAAGTACTTCTTCATAATTTCTTTTGCTTGTTAAATAAATACGATTAACGTTGAGAAATTATGAAAAATAACTCTTTTGAAAAATTTAAAATAAATATCTTTACAAGTATAGTTATGTCCATCCTTGGATACACTATATTCAAAATAGTATATTAAGGATATAGTAAAATCTGAAGAAAACAAAATAAAAAAATTGTATAAATTTATTATTAAAAAGCTATTGAAATCAAATACCAATATCATACAAGTAGAGGTAGGTAATAATACAGGTAATGCAATTACACATGTGTGATACCATAAGGTAGCTATAAAACACTGACAAATTGGACAAAAGTAGGTATAGAGGGTATATAAGGAATATCTCAAAAGTTCACTAGAATCAAAAACATTGAACGCTTGCACGAAAGAGTATAATAAGGTACCTATATTGCAAAGGTTCACTAGTAGCTAAAATGGTGAACGATTGTACAAAAGTAATAAAAAAAGTGTATTTATATAAGGTATATTTCATAGGTCTCTAGATTTTTATTAAGATGGCAGTTGTACGATGCTAAAAAAATATATTTGCCTACAACTGGTACTAATCATAGTTTTAATACGATATAACTTGATTAAACTGAATATTGATCAATGTAAAGTTATAAGGTTTAATAAAACAGCTAATATCATTATGCATGATTATGTCACTGCAGGTTCTGAACCATAAATGATCTTGGTGATATTTTTGACGGGGGCCTATCGTTTATTCCTCATTTTATTAGATTCCTTGTTCCTGCCAGACTTACCAGGCAGATTAAACTATTTTATGTAAATACTCATAGAACTAACTGTGGACAGAATTTATTTGTATACCGACTGATGTCCAATTACAATAAGTAATTTTCAAATTATGACATTTTAGTAGGTTTTTTTTAAGCGTCGACTTTCATTATACTATATTGACTTCTATTTTATACTATGACAATTTTATTAATTTCTATTTTATTTTATTTTGATATTTTAAATGTACCATTTAGAACTTTATGTATCTGTAGCGTACTGTAAACAAATAGATAGATAAATAAATAATGTGAACTTAATTATATAGTTTCTTCCTAAAAATAACCTTGTAGATAATAAATTTACTTGTTTATTATTAAAGAAAATAATATGTATAAAGAAAATGAAAAATATGCTCGTTTAAATCGTTGCACCTATTTTTAGTTGATTTTTACTTACTTTGTTTTCCTAAATAAATAATAACCTTTATTTTGATTTTTAGAAATTTGATACTTAATAATGGATGTTCAACTTATGCAGAACAATGTTTTTAGCATGATATTGTGTTATGAAAGAAAAAGAATTAACCATTTCTGTATTATTGACTTTAGCTTTTTTACTAGAATTATAATCCACCACAAAGAAAACCTACAACACAATATTTTTAAAATTTATTTTTAGTGATTAAAATATTATTACACTAGGGCGACCATACTTACAGCAATTTTGCTGTATTGTAAAGCATTTTTAAAGTTTGTCCAGCAATTGGTATTGTGCAGCAAACGTACAGCAAAATGGCATAGGTATAGTCCAGTGAAATGCTGTATTTATCGACCAAAACGTCACTACTGTCCAGCAATGAAATGTAACAAATTTAAATGTTATTTATCTTTAGTGAACTACATTAGCACTTCTAACTGCCGTCCTAGCAAGAAAGGTTTTATCTGCAAAATTATCAGTTTTTTTATTTATATGCATTTGTCTACATTTTATCTTTCTTAATACTGAAATGGAATGTCTTATTTGCACAAAGGTACTAAAATGTTAAAAAGTTACACAAAAAAGGTTTAAAAGATAATAAATATATTTGCTAAAAATAGTTAAAAACTCGATTATTTCAAAACAACAAATTTTCAGATAGGACCTCTTTGTCTAGGATGGCAGTATATGACTTCTTTGTTTTTGTATTTTTATAGTAGTATAGGAGTAGGGCTAAGAGTATCAGTCAAAGGTATTGATACTGGTATCATGTGAAATACTTTGTGGTACAGGCATCGATACTGTTCGATATTATGTTAAAGATATCGATATTTATAAGTATCAAAGTATTGAACAAGTAACAGATTTTTTTTAAACGGCTGACAACCCCCATTCAACAGGATGGAGTGGGGAACTTAACTAAAAACAAGTATGCATCAGTATAGTATATTCTGTAGTTGACACCTTTCCTTTATCTACTGGTACTCTACCCCCTTAATCATTATTACCAAGTTTCACCACATGCGAAAACTAAAATATTTGAACAAACCTTATTATTCCTGACCACACACATAGCGATACGATACTTGCTTCTAAGTATGGATATGGCGATAGTATTGGTAATTCAGTATCAGTGGCTAAATATGGATACTATCATTGTTTAATATCGATACTTTTATAGTATTGAGACATCAATAATAAGATCCCTATTATCGTGTAAAATATAGGCAGTCATTTAATATTGCAATCTAAACGAACAGACAATAAATTAGAAAATATGTTTCTATTTTATTGAAAAGAAGAAAAGAACTTACCAAACCTATTCAAAGGTATAGTTTACAATTTCTTTAAAATCTCAAATAAATACAAGAAAATGTGACAAGTGACATTTTTTTATGTTTTGTTGGTTA